AATGTTCACCACAACGCAATTCACCAAGGTTTTTGTGTTAGGAAATTCCAGCTAATCTTTATAATTCGATGGCAAAAAAATTTAGTAGTCATGTAGAGAGATACGTTTTTAATCGAGGGAAATCCAGCCGATATATGATGAATATGTCTGTTAAAATTGTGGAGTATTGTAAAACCAAACCAAAGATATATTTCAGATCTTTGAGTACGTTAGCCAAAAGAATCAGAGCCGCCTTTTAATTGTCGCCCTTAGTTGATCGTGCGAAACCATGGGAACGACAGATTACAGTAAGAAGAAATCAGACGTGGTCATGACACTACGTTGTCCCATTTGAAATGGTACGTCTATGTTTCCTCCAGTATGCACAGTGCATCATCTATCCAGATGTTAACGAAATTTCAAGTCCAACAAAGTGAGTGATTACTTTTCGAAAGTGGCACACACGAACGTCAGGAAGCCGGTTCCACAGTAATTCTTTGCACACGTTGAAATAAACGGTGTGCTTTACACCATATATTACCCAAATAATAATTTTCACCGGAACCTGTAATGACTAGCAGGAACCCTATCCTGATTCCTAATGGTCTATATACAAGTCCACTTTTTCCAATCTAATCTGCCTTTATCTAGCCCGTGTGTAATGCCATGGCACCAACTCCCATCTGATATGCCTTAATCTATTGTTTACTGCCATGGCGCCCACTGGTTTCTTCATAATGTGGACATTACGTTGAAACACTGCGGCACCTGAATAAGGCCTTCTAAACTGACCTAAAATAATTTCCGTCACTATGCTCGTCTTTCCTTGTAGGTGCTTCTGGGTGGCCCCCAGTCGTCTGTCTCCGAATCGCGCTGCTGCTCGACCAGCCCCAACTCGGCCGATGAGGCCCTGGTCGCTCAATTGGCTGGCCTGGGCCTCGGTCCCAGCGCCGCCATGACGCCCCTGTCACCGGGATCAGCCGGCGCCCAGGCGGCCGCCTCGGCACCAGCGCTGGGCGCCGTCGCAGCCGTGGCTGCCGCCGCTGCCGGTTCCTGCACAAACCCCGGGGCGGCCACTCCGGTCGTCAACGGCACGGGAACGCGCTCCCTCACCTTCACCACGGCCAGCTTCGCACAGACAAAGTTCGGCTCGACCAAGCTCAAGACAAGCTCCAAGCGCGCCCAGAGACTCTCGCCCACCGAGCTCAGCCTGAGGCGAGAGCAGCAGCAACAGCAGCAACATCAACAGCAACAACTCGTCGCCAGGGGGCCTGCAGCGGTGCCGACGAGCGGCAACCCCATCTCGCCGCACGATCTGTACGGATCGGCGGCGGCCGCTGCGGCTGCTCTCCCCCTTGATGCGTTCGGCGATGCGGCCGCCGCGGTGGTGGCGTCGCAGGTGGCGGCGGCAGCGGCGGCTGCTTGCCCGCCGCCGCCTCCCACGACTGCGTCGCGGTTCGCGGCAGCGGCGTCTCCCTTCTTGGCTGCGGCTGCTGGTGGTTCGTTTCAGGGACATCATCATCATCACCACCACCACCCGCATCACCACCACCACTCGGTGGTGTCCGGTGCGGCTGCCGAGCTCGGGGCGGCGCTCCAGCAGCACCTGCTGTTGGCCAACTAGTCGGAGCAGCGCAGCAACTGTTCTTTCTTTTTGTACTTTTTGTTATTTCCTAGAGGGCCCACACTCTCATGTTGAAAAAAAAAAGAAATGAGCTACTGCATTGTCAGCCAAGAGGTTTCGGCTGAATGGAAGCCGAAGCTGTGGCCACAGTGGCTCATTTAACAATTGTTGTTGAATGTGACCATCGAGGAGCAAGACGGAATGTCAGAAAGAAAGTGAAAAATTAGTAGGACCTCTAGACGCCCTTGATTAAAAGAGAAATGCTTGCGCTTTGCTTGACCAGTGCCAGTTTGGTCTAATTCGGAGGGCCGATGCTTTAACAAGGAGCAACCTTGTTTTAATAACTCCTTTATTCGAGAGCATATAAACAGTCTTGTATTTGAGTTCATTTCTTTAGGGCGGGCTCTCATTGTCCAATCGTTTCACGCGTACTATGCGCTGGCGCCCAGCGGAGGCGGAAATACACTCTTGCTGTATGAAGGTAAACACGATACTGACTGGTTGTTCTGTGAAGTTGAGCATCTACTAGTACTTTCTCAACAGTTGTTGGATAACTGCAAAAACAAATAAACAGAATGATCGCTTCTGTAAAAGCACTCAGAAGAGAAGGTCATCGTACATAAGTTTCCACCTGTTGCATAACACCGCTCGAAAAAAAAATCTTTTAGTGAGCTGTAGCGCCAGCTTTCAAAGCGAAATTAGTATTGAGATAAACAGAGAATGGCTTGTTGGCTGAATATGAGGGGCAGAGCGTTCCATTTGTCATGGAAGTTGTTAAAGCTTCAACGATGAAGAGCAGCCTTTTTCTTGAAGATATTTCTTTACGGAACACACATTGTTCGAAGGTTGTGTTCTTGTTGTAGTTTTGCATGTTACGAGATCATTGTAACGAATGTTTCCATATAAAGTACAGAGCTTTTAAGAGTCGTTGAAGTGTTCCCCTTACGTTAGAGAGCGTTGCCAATGCCGCAGGGGCAGCACACAAGAAACTATCTCTTGTTGAGTGTCCTAAGAAGGAAACGGTGTACAAAATAGTTTGGTTCGGTCTGTTTTGATTCGTCGCGTTGTAGTTCTCGCGTTCGGCCAACTTGTCCACCTTGACTAGAGTTGCAGCCGCGCCATTAGCAAGGGGACCCTCAGGAAACCGCTTGTTAAGGATGACCGCGTGTGTGACGTTAGTTAAACAAAGAGCGGCAGGTCCTTAGCTACTGCGGTTGCCAAAAATTCGTTCCCACGAAAGATGCACAAGGCAACAACAATTTATACCCTGAGTGTCATGTTTATCACACAATCCATCGCATGTTTAGTTTCACAGAAAATTGCTTGTCTGTTGTATTTTCTTGCATAGTTTCGTTTTCCAGTTTATGGACACTCGGAACCAAATATTATTATTATTGCCATCACTGCTTTCAAAGCTTTGTGAAGAGCACCGTTACAATATTTGTTATGGGAATCATAGATGTCCTCTGCATTCGTCTCAACTTAGCTAAAAGAAGAGATACTGATGCTTTTAATAGCGTGGCTTCCTTTCACGCTGTAAAATGTATACCTCCGCTATTGTATTACACACATCGCACAAACTTCTGCTCTAAGGCCAATCCTATAGCGCCTGAAAGATATATATTCGTTGAGAAAAAGACCAATGAAGATGTCTATTTTTGACGACACGCATGTTTTCCAGATGTAAACGTTTAGGAAGCTGTAGTTGCTGTTGATGTTGAACAATATGTTGTTGAACATTTCTGGGCGTCTGGAGGTTCTTCCACGGCATACCGAAACGAGCGCCATATGCTAATCTTGACGTCTAAGTGTTACGGCAAAATCATAAGTAGGACCATTAGAAAAAGAAACAACTAAACAAAATAAATAATATCAACTTTAGTGAACGGAACCTGTCAGGAAAGGAAGTGTCAAAGAATGTTCACTACAACGCAGACATTAGGCTTAGACCTTCGACAAAATAGCGTCCGCTTAGCAGGTGGCGCCAGTTTCTCCAATGTGCATTAACTATACCATTGCCGTGGTTCGGCGTCGCATAGAATTGTTGGGTGTTCATCTCGTGGTCCTGAGGTGCCAGGGCAGAAATTGTTAACATCCCACCCGGCGTTTGTATTTGTAGCGAAGTTAGTTACAACCATGGCTAATGTAGGTGGTTGAAGGACGCTGGGCCACAAACGTGCGCCCCTCGTTAGGGGTGCTGCAGACGCTCGCCTAGCACTGGCACGCAGAAGACGGGAATTTCGCCGCCGTGTGCGACATTCGTCCTCGTGGAAAGCTCGCATAATAAGTTGCAAGCCGTCAACCCTAATAGAGCTTCGGGCCTGCCTTAGGCGTACACAATTTTCCGATGATGAAACACTTCAGAGAGAGGGGGAGAGAGGCGCCCGCTTTGATCGTTGCAAGACAAGGCAATCGAGATTAGCACTCAGTCAAACTAGCGAGCCAACAGGACCTGTAGTCATGTTCGAGGAAAAGTCACCCTGGTTCTATTATTCCGGTATCTTTACCGTTTTGAGGAAGTGAGAGCCAGTGATCCTGCTTGTTTTTGTATCGTATTACAATAGCGATTGGTAGCGGCACTATAACGACGGCAACAGAGTCTCAGCATGCCACTTCTGACATGATGCACTGCCTTTGAGGTGACTGTCACGTCATATCGGGCGAAGCGCACTGTTCAACTATCGGGTGACGAGGCGGGCTCTGCAGCTACGCCGGGACAGTTTAGTCCAGTGCTTTGTTGCCACGGGCCGTCATGGAACCTTCCCGCCATAGAATCGAATGGCGGAAAGCAGACGCTGGGACGTCATTCTGTCACTCAGAGAGCCAGAGCTGACGAAGGCGACGCGTTGCGGCGCTAAAAGAGGTCTAGTCAAGTGCAAAGAGCTACGACTCGTTCATTACTGCCGTGACGTCACTTCCGCTGGGTCCCCGCAACGGCGCGTCACGTGACTCCCCAGGGGCGAGTGGAACGCCACCGGCGTTTCTAGGCGGAAGTGACGTAGGTGCTCAGACTCTGTTCTCCTCGAATAGTTCAGCTGCGTTGCCATTGCCTGGTTCCCAGTTTCCCACATTTTCAATTGAGTGATACATATATATACATATTGTGGACAACCTTTCTCACTCGCCTTTTTCCGTGTCGTTTTTTCTGTACTCGTTTTTTCTACTACGAGGTGTGTCGGTGTGTTTGATACAGAATGACCGCGCGATGACCGGGTTGTATGTACTTCTCTGTAAACGACACTGCCGCTAGGGGCGCCGTGAAGCTCGTCTGCTACACCTGCGCCACGCTTGTTACTGCGCGCACTCATTATACTCAAGGCGTGGTATGCGTACGTAGCAGCTTAGACGTGGTACATACCAAAAATTCGCGTTGGCCTTGCCAGATGAGGGCTGCATTTCCGCGTCAGCGTTGCGGAGAACATGGCTGTGACAATTATGAACAATATTTTTTTTTCTTTTCATATCGGCGACCGTTATCTTTCCTGTGCCATTCATAAAGCTAACATTCTGAATCTGTTTGAATTACGAAGAAAGCAGGAGTTTAAGTTCCCAATTCATAATCAGCTGGCGCAAAATGATTCGTTTTTTGATTGATAGTAACTAGGGCACGAGCTTCGGGAGATTCATTCATTCACAAAAATTTAATTGTGTCCTGAAGCCCGGTCTTTTCAGACCGAGGCGGGCCACGTCCACGTTGGTATCGTCAGGCTAACCTTGTGGCGTCATCGTGGACCTTCTGGACTGCCCGTAGTCGGTCTTGATAAGACGCGCTTCGCACCATCGTCTGCCAGTAGAGCCATTGTTCTTCGGGGTCGGCGAGAGTCGTAGGACAGCCCGCCAGCATGTGTCTGATCCCAGTGATGCCGTCGCCTTCGTCACACTTGTCTTGAATTTCACTGCGAGAATAAATATTGCTGTGCCTGCAGACCGCATTATCCAAATCCACATCGAACTCTTTTCCCAGACTGATCCCTCAGACACGTTGCTATCAATGTGGCCGTTAGTCGTACAGCCAGACGCGCTTCGCAGCAAACCGAGCGGCACTGTCACGTAGCATTGTATCGTCGTTGTCGTCAAGCTTCGTCGTTGTAATCGTCATATTTTTATATCTATACGAAAACAGAATAAGAGTTTTTTTTAGGTTGTCGTATTTTAGTTCTTGCGGGGTCCGCTGCATTTTTCCAGGCAGAGGGAGCGTCAGTACAAAAGGTCAGATTTCGGTACGGGCACTGTGCGGAGAAGCGCATGCGCGGTTTGTCGCACTGCGCGTGAAGTGAGCGTATTAACGCCGTCGTTAGAACTATACGCGTGCTCTGGGTTTCCCCTTGGAGGAGGGAGAGAGTCAAGCGTGACCGCAGCGCCCCCAACCCTCCTCCCTGCACTTCGATTGGTTGAGTACGAATGTAATATAAACTTCAAAACGCCTGCTCTTATGAATATGAAGCGATGACGTGCTTTGTACAATGGCCGACCATTGGTTCCTCGCATTCTGATAGAACAAGGGAAGTAGGCTAAACAGCTCTTCCAACGCTGTATAAAGTCCTCGGCTGTCAATACTGTCAAAAACCTGTACAACCATGACCCTGCGCTATAAGCGATGGATGGATATGTCCGACTGAGTACTGAGTTATATTAGATGATTAGGAAGAGCAACTCGTCGCCAGGGCCAGGAGGGCAGTAGAAGCCAGAGGGTTCCTGGACTAAGAAGCCCTCCCACCTCAGGGTGACAGTGGGCATTGCTCGGGACTCTGTTTCAAAAAAAAAAAAACGTTTACTTCTCTCTCTCTAGGGGGAGCAGCCACTCTTACTCGTGCGCACGCATATGGTTAAGGCGATAGCGTGAAAAGTCGCGAGACATTGAAACGAGACTGTAGTCACGACGGGGGAACAGTGAGATATCGACCGGGGCGAAGAGAATCTATTTTGTGTGTGGCGCAATAAGCATAGCGAGGGGTTCGATCTCCGCCAACCCTCTTTCGCCCCCCTCCACATTTTGCTTCTGAGTCCGCAAAATGTAAATGCATATATATGAATATATCTACTATATCCATTTACGCCTACAACGTAACACAAAGGACAAGAACCCAGTGGCCTCCCAATCAAAATTCTCGACGCGGTGCAAGAAGGAACCATGGCAAGGAACAAACATCGGAACTCACTAGTCGCGCTAGCCTTCGATAATCTGGCCGGAAATGACAATTCCTGGCGCCATTTAAATTCAGAAATGTCATAAAGCTCACGATCTTGGCCAGTTATGACTAATCTGAATGCCTTTTGCTATTGGATGAAAAAAAAATATGTCAATGTTCTCATATCCTACCGTGCCCTGAAACATGCAATCTTTCCCAATACGACTGGTGCACAATGAAGGTACGGTGCATCTTATTAGTTGAAAAGTGTCAGTGCTTTATCACATTCTCCATATTATTCGGCATCTTGACAGCTATAATTGGTAGACATGGTGGTATAGCTTCTTTTATTGGCTAAAAAACCACAACGTTTCAAAATTCTGTCATATTCTGAGACTCGCCATCTGGTCAGATCTATGTGGCCTATGAGACGGCTGCTGTTGGTCCCATTGAGCAAAATATCTTTACGCTGTCAAAGTCTGCCCTTTAGTATGAAACTGGCCTTGTCAGTTGTAAGATGTCCACAAGGCGGGTACAGCGTACCCCTTTGGTTCGAAAATCTCAACCCTAACAAATTCAGCCATTTTTGGAAGCTCGCCACATAGTTGGTGGTCGCCACATTGTTGGCCGTTCACAATTCGTGTGCAGCCTCTCCCATTGGCTAAAAGATCTCGATATTCTCAAGTACTGCCATATTGCGTTAGACACCATATTGTCTGCTGCGGTCGGACCACAAGGCAGCTGAAGCACCTCCCATTGGCTCGAAAATTGCTCTCGTATCCTCATACTCGCTGGCTTGTTATTTAACACTGGTGTTTTCCACAATAGATAAGAAATCGGAGTGACTTAACGCTGGGAATCAGCCGTAACTGGCGCGATCAAGGAGCTCCGATGATTACAGTTCCAACCAGGCCTTCCTTCAGCATTACGACATAAAGCACCACACGGCTACCTGCCCGTCCGCGCAATAATGCGCCGCCAAACCACCGAGGTTGGCAGCATGCGACAGAGCCTCGGAAAAAGTTGGCATAGAACGTCAACTCCTGGCGGACGACGACAGGACGGCTCCGCAGCGTTCTCAAAAAGCGAGGGCCACGCCGACGTTGTTCTCATTTTTCTTTGTCGAAGCTTTGTTGTTCATTTAGAAGAAGAGGGAGGCCTCGCGTCTTCAAAGCTATTTTCGTATGCCAGCTGAAGAATGCTAGACCTATCAGCGAGCCGGGGACCGGTACGTTATGTGGGGCGCCGCGTCGAAGGGTTGGGTTGGTGTGGTCGATGACGCGGTCGTGTTTGTGATGGTTTCCCGCTGTTGTTGTTGATGTTGCTGCTGCTGCTCCTGTTGTTGCGCGTGTCGTGCAGTAGTAGTAGGGTGGCGCTACAAGCCGAAGAGGTCGTCCTCGTGTTGCAATGAGAGTGGTGGTGTGTGCGTTGGAAAGCGTTCATTTAGCGCAGGCACGGAGTGGTAAGAGACGGTGCCAAGACGAAATTGGAACGGAGGACAAAACAGCGGGTTGGTGTCAAGCCTGGGGTGTTTATTGGAAGCTGCTGCAAAATTTATGAAACTTGTAGGGTGCCGAACAGAGCCTGTGGCGATATAGCTAGCTGGAAAACGTGACACGCTGTTCACACTTACCGCATGCCACAAGATATGACGACGTGTATTTCGAGTAACGTATTGGTTGTCCTTGCAAAAGAGCTGAGGGTTATGTGAACATTGGGCGTGAGCCAGTTTCGCTTTTCGTCTGCTAGCCGCTTCGCCATTGGTTTCACTTCCGTCATCTATATCACTTATCGTCTGTTCCACTTGTAGTATGCTTCACTTCCGCTAGGTCTCTCGTTCCTAGTTCTTTTGGCGCCGCCTCCCCGTGTCTTGCACAAAATGACAGAGATAAGAGAAAAAAGAGAGAGAAGAAGAGTGGAAGCAAGAGATGAGAGTGTGATATGGAAGAAGCGCAGTGATATCCACGTCCTAAGATTCCAAAGGTGTTAAAAAAAGATGCATATAATACACAACAGGAAGTCCCTTTTATCTTTTGTACTTTGACTTAGTGCAGATGATACGCGCCCCGTGGCGCTCGTCTGCTGACGAGGCAGCCACACACTGTCTGCACTGTTTCTTCACATCTTGTTACATTTTAATAAGTTTTTAAATAAATGTTGGACAAAAGCGTCGCCAAACGTGTCCCTCGTGTTTTTGGTGGCGTTGCCTAGGGGGCTTTCATGCCTCCTGGACCTGGTGCTACCATAAGCGCAAGTACGCACTCTGGCACCTGGAACATCGTGCCCTTCTACGAGTACAAGGCGTGCTGTCTGAAACATTGCGATGGTATCCTGTTCTTGGCTCCAGCAATTTATTATAGCGCTTGCGGAACACGAAAGCACAGACATTTGAGAGTCTTTAAGATGAAAGCGTCGATGAGATAATGCTTTTGACACCAGCTGGCAGAACACACCAACACTGAACACAACTCTTTGTCGTTTCGCAAGCCGTTATAAATTGCTACAGAAAATCAAGGAAAAAAATTTGTTTTTCAAATATATAATCAAAACTAAGGTCTCGCTATGTGCGTGTGACGTCTCGTGATTCATCCAGGTCTGACCGTTGCGGCTGCTTAGGCGCAGCAAATGTTTTGACTATTCGCCGGTCTGAGTGTATGGTTTCCTTAGATTATTGAACGTATTTCTCCTTTACTCATGAGCGATTGTCATAAATCGGATGGTAGAGGTCAAAATTTGGGACATCACGGTACCGACCAGTGCAGAAGTGCAAGTGTCGAGTCGGCACCGGTCTATGATGCTCGCGTTCGTTCTTGCTATATCAGAAAGTTCTGTTCAGGTTCACGTGTCACTGTGGTCAATGTTTACACAGCCGAATCACAAAAAGGTTACAATCAATTGATTAAGCTGCTACATGCCGATGGAGAGGATAGCAGCACATTGCAAAATCTATTGATCTTGTGTCTCCAAGAGAAGAACCAGGGCTATCACACGAAAGCGTGAATCGCATTCTGTCGGTATAGATGTTTCGTGCCCCGGTTCACGGTACGAAACGCAGTGAAAACCGCCGTCACCTGCCCTCCTACAACGCAGTGACAATCACCGTCACCTGCCTCCCTATTTCTGTTAAGGCCTTCGCATGCTGTGGTGGACGACCTCGGTAAAGCGTTCAAGAATGCCTGAAAAAGACGACGACGACTGAAGTCCCAAAAGATGATTCGGGGTGAATAGTCAGTCTTTCTCGTGAGCGCACCCACCACGAACATTTGAAAGCCTTCGACAATAACACTAATGACTCGCCCGTCTGACGCAATAGAACATGCCTTTAGCAAAACTTTCTCAAACACAATGAGCATTTGCGAATCATCATCCGTCTTACCAAGAAAGCGTGGTGTGGTAAACAGCTCAGCTGAGTTTCTCCATGAAGTCCTGGAATTTATACCAACGTCAATACAGGCGTGTACAGGGTTCTCCCTTGGAGCCATGATGGTTTGCTGTACAGCGTTACCCCCCTTCTCCCGTTCCTCCAGTTTCGATGGCGGGGAGTTTTGACGGCGACGGCGGGGTGAGGGCCTAAGGAGTTCGCTCTTAATAAGGCGACGACAGTTGACAACGATTATAAAAAAATGTCGGTTTTGCAAGTGGCATTGCATGCGAGGTAAACAAAGAAATGGGTGGAATACAACGGTGCGGTTATGGTTTGAACATCAGGTCTGTGAAGAGTGATTACGTGTGTTATCACAAGTTTTCCCTACAGAAGCGCCGTTCGGTAGACGTGCACTTCTGCTGTTCCGCTTGTCGAGCAGTCCCCCCAGTAGAAACATTAATGTGTGGCCTCTGCTCACGCCATGTCGAAGAGTTGTGACCAACAGCGCCTGATAGATGGAAGTGTTCATTTTCTCAGTTCAAAACTATCATTGAAATAGCATGACCCGGCTGCTACGTTGGTCTAGTGGTTATGGGACTCAACCACTGACTCGAAGGTAGCGGGATCGAATCCCGGTTATGATGGCTGCAATTTTGATAGCGCTGAAAGTACTCGAGGACTACATACTTAGATTAAGGTGCGTGTTAAAGAACTCTAGACGGAAAGGAAAATGATAAGATTAATCCGAAGGTACAAAATGAGAATGAAGTGGGTCAAAGAAAAACGGGTGTTGAAGACATCTTCGTTGAAATCCAAAACAAATGGTCATGGGCAGGGTGTGTAGCGCGGAGACAACACAACCAACGGGCCTGAAGAGTATCAGTCTGAATTACAAGATAAAAAAAAAAAGGCGCGCGACGGCAAGGTGGAAAGTGCGGTGAACTTTAAGACTGAGAAGTCTGCGTATTACTTGACTGCAGCAAGTGCAGGAACGGGTCGATTCGTGATAGGTGGAAGCGACTCTTGCTCCGCAGTGCGTGGACTCAAGTTGATAATGATGATAATGAGGATGAGTTGAATGAAGATGATGGAAAAGAAAGCACATACATTAGCAATAAATTGTGGACTTTCGATTCGTAAGCACTGTATACATCTGTACCAATCATATGAGGCAACTATCAGTGCTTCAGATAACCATGCTGCTAATGTACAAAAAGCAGTAGTGCTAATCAATTTATTGTCTTCGTCTCACGTCATAGTTAACGCGTTCAGTGTGTGGGAAAGTCCGGGGCCTCGCGTGCTTCAAAAAAGAAGGGAGATCCTTCAGTTTCAGACTTACCGCTGTCAAGTTCTAACACGCTGGCACATCACTATAGCTATCGTCGGGTAATACTGCCAGTTTTTCTATACCGGCGCCAGCGTCATGTGTACTGCGTCTAAATTAAGGTTGAGTTGATTGTGACGTAATCGTATAACGAAATGTGCACCCGTTATGGTTTCCGTATGGTACATACTTTTTCTGAATTTTTCTTGAAATTACCGATGAGTTCTTAAACAAGCTGTACCAGCTTGCCGTATGCACGACTGTCAATATCGTTTTAAAGTGACGGTATCGTGAAGGAGCACAAAAAAATAACAAGTAGAGGGTTTCAATTTCAAAATCATGACCACCGAAAAGGAATTGTCAGACAGGAGCATCGAAAGACTTTGGCAGAGCTTTCAGCGAGATTGCTCTGTCCGTACTGCCCATCGTATAGCCAGCGAAAACGCTGTCTCTTATATTGCGTAAGGTTTATTCCAAAATAGAAATGTTTAAGAAACGAAACCTTAGAACTTATCACATGAAAAGAATTTGGATTACTTTAGTGCTGGAAAAGTGACTGACGTCAAGTTCTTGCGAACGACTCGAAGCTGCCTTCGCGTCGCGTTTCTATTCTCCAGTTCTCGGAAAAAAAGAAAAGCCATATACGAGAGAGCACTCACCCGAAATCGAAGCCGTCCCTCGGGTAATGCAAGCAGGGCACATTTTCGAAGCAGCAATGTCGCAACGATTATTTCTGCTGAAAAGAAAAATCGCAGCCCTGTTTATTCGGTCTATTGTGGCTGGACACATTGAACGCTTTTACAGGCGAGCTATTGCGCAGCGAAGCGAAGGTTAACACGATGTCGCGTAAAGCAATGCGCTCAGCTATGAAAATATTCGCTGCTGAATAGACGCCCCCTTTCTCACCCCTTCTTTTCTTTTCATGCGGCGCAGCCTTCTATAAATAGTTATGCCCGGTTTCATAATCATTGCAAGTTTGTTGATATCGATGGGCTATACGAGTACGCCTATCCCGCTTGATTTCGCAATTTTGATTACTTTATAACTACACTGTTACTCGCTTTCGCTTAAAGCAGCCGGCACATGGATTATATTACCCGCACAACGCAAAAAACACGTAGCAGCGATAGCACTAGGTTATACTATTCCAGCAGTAATGAGAAATCTGCTTTATATATCCGGAAGGAACGGAAAAAGGTAGCATGTGATACCATGAATAGGTGCCCAGACACCATTTCGGGTTTCGCGAAAGGCCATATTCTATAAATAGCAAGATGTGCTGCGAACAGTTTAGCCGTGTTTTACAGTCGTCCACGGCGCGCATAGTTCGCGAGGGGATCACAAAGTGGCGACTTTTTCAAGTGCCCCCTCTTCGTAGGCGAAATGGGTGGCGGCCGGGCGTCACTCACTTGGAGGCCAGACCGAGGTGATTCTATACACTGTTTTCAAAGAATTTTCTTCGAGAAGGCACTGGCGGCGCCGAGTCTGAAACCCGCCACGCAGGGAAAAGTGTTTCACCTCCACTGGCGTCACTAATGAACTGTGCCGAAATACGGCACTTCTTCGCCTCCTTCTTCGCTACGCGCTCGGTTTCAGTTCCCTACGGCATGGATTTGAGAAAGTGGTTCCAGCTACACTAAAGTTCGGATAACCGTTGCCTTCTTCCTTTCTTGTGGACCGCTGGCGAGTAAAGTATCATAACTTGGCACACGTGTTTCAAGAAGTATAGTGTTTCAAGTACACGACTTTACCGTAGAGACCAACGTTTGAACATCTGGTTTAGATAAAATCCTAAGCACCTCGGTATGTTTCATCGAGGATTCTGACACCACTGCTAAGCCAAACACGTTTCGCAGTAACGGCGAACCTTAAACTTATAATGTTCATAGTACGGACCAGCAGCGAGTGGGAAATTATCATACCTTAGTGCCTCCACGCCCGTTTATGATGGACAGTGACTACAACAAGACACTCCGACAAGCCGAGACCCCGACGGGCTTCATCCCTAAAACAACTCTTGCCACGGGAATGCGCTCAGCAAGTGTGAAAACACGCGAGAAGGAAATTCAGGTAGCGATGCGTCGTCGTCACACCATCGCTAATTTTGGATGATGCCACATGTTTAGACTGTGTGTGCTAGGGTATACGCAATTTTTCGATCAGCGAGGATCAAGTGAATTGTCCTCTCAGTTGCTTTGAGGGTCAATGTAGAAAGTTTAAGCGAATTTCGCTGAGCCGACGTGAGCAAATGGCAGAATAAAAATGTGTGTCTAACGAAAAAAAAGAACACATGTCCAATAAAAAAAATGAGCCGTTGAAATACTCCATCGTTCTTTCATGACGTCCCGCTGATAATCATGTGTAAAGGCGCTGGCGCCAACTTTGAAAGTGTAGCTTCGAACTTCATTTCCTGTTCAAATCAGAAACCTGTCATGATCTAACTAATAATTCATGAGCTTTCAAAGAATATTTTGTCGCGCTAATTGATCG